GTTCAATTTGAATTTGCATCTTGAATAATCTATCAGTTCCTTTTCGTGGTACATATTCAACATAGAAAATATTCGTTATATGTACGTTCACTTTGAACTGGCAGATTTAGTAATATATCAGTTACTTTTCGTGGTAATATATTATATTAGATAATAACAATTAAATTATTAAAGGTTTAAATTATTAGGTTACATTATTAGATAATCATTTTAATTTAGAAAGGTTCAAATTTTTGGGGTTAATTTTCAAAGGTTTAAATTTATTGGGTTTTTTATTTTGTGATTAGGTAATCGTTTTAATTTAGAAAGGTTCCAATTTTTGTGGTTAGTTTTCAGAGGTTTAAATTTTTTTGATTTTTTAATTTGCGAGAATCTATTTTTGAACATGGCTGGACCTTTTTATTTTAATGATACCTATGTTATTATCTCTTTACCGCGTGCAGTCCAAATGCCCAATGACGATCGAATGGCATTTTTCTGTGCACTGTGCGGTGTGGTAAGGGGGACTGCGAAAGCTAGACGTAAATGATTCGAAAATTAACCGAAAGTTGCACTGTCCCCCTCACCGCTCCGCGTGCAGACGAAATGCCTCATGACAGTCAAATGGTTTAAATATTTGTCATACCAGTCAGCAGTCGGCACAGTATTTAAAAGTAATTTTATTTAAAATATATATTTCAAATGTATTTAATATGAGATGAGGGAAAGCGGAGGCGATTCGAAAATCGGCCGATAGTTACATACACTTTATGTATGTTCACTTTGTACTGGCATCTTTAATTAATAATTAGTTATTTTTCGTAATATATTACAATTTAACTCGTTATTGTACTGCAATAGTTTTAAATATACGTCATATCAGTCTGCAGTCGGTAGTATATTTAAATGATGACTGCTCGGTTTATCGGCGAGCCGGGTGAGGAGGGGATGTGCGACTCGCGTCCGCCCTTCCACATCAAAACAATCCCCAAGGCTGCTTTCGCTAACCGTCTAATAACAACATATTTAAATGCGAATAGAGAAGAAGAAGAAGAAGAAGGAGAAAGGGACGTTTCTTAATTTTTTATTAAAATCACCAATTTTCGACCGCTTGTATCTCCAGAATGGCTTGACCGATTTTAATTTTTTTTTGGCTCAAATTACTCGTGGCGATGCCGCCTTTCAGGACATATAACGTTCGATTCAAAATTTTATATATTTTAGTAGTTATGCACCCCCCAAAAATGGACTTTGGTAGCTCGGGATAAGAGACCTGTAGTGTCTTTCAGTTTTTGATCACCTTGGTACCTCGGTAACGAGATAAATGTGGCCAAGCGTTCCTTATTAGAGTTCGCGGTAACACCAAAAAATAAATGTAAAGACAAAATGGGTGATGCAATGCCCGCGAAAAAGGAATGGCGTTGCTCGAACGGTCTCCGGGCGCTTGCGTCTACGGCGTCGTCACATCGCAATAACGCGCGTTATAGGAGTAGTCAAAACGACGAACTCATCAAGACGAGCTCATCCGCGAGCACACATCAATGTGATACAATGGACAATCGAAGTCGGCAATACTTTCAAAAATGTAAAATAGAAAGCACGAAACGCGTCCGTCGCGGCCGAGTCGTTCTTCGGAACTTGGCGTAGTAATACCACTGAACTATACTGCTGAAACGCGCTCTGAGGCCATCCGTCTCAATAGAAAGAGAGAGTCAGTTTAGGTTACTTCGTAAAAAAATTACATAATTTATAGTGGAAATGTATACAATGTGTGACTTTACAAAAAACAGTACATCTTACAGTTGATAGTGTAAGTGTATCTTTACATTGGTTGAAAAATTACAATAACAATACTATATTTCAATGTTTTTATGTAAATGTACAAATTTTTGTAATATTATTTGAAATAATTATTATTATATTATGTAATGTTACAGTATAATATGTGATATTATCATTATCTTATATAATATTACAAAAATTTGTACGTTTACGTAAAAACTGTGAAATGTACTATTGTTATTGTAATTTTTCATCCAATATAAAGATACATTTACACTAACAAAGGTAAAATGTAGTAATTTTTAATAAAATTACACAATTATTTGAAAATTTATGTAAAAACTATAAAATACAGTATTGTAACTGTAATTTTCCATCCAATGTAAAGATAAATTTACACTATCAGAGGTAAAATGAACTAATTTTTGTAAAATTACACAATTTTACATATTTCCACTATAAATTGTGTAATTGTTACACATACTATTTGTGTAATTTTACGTACTTTTTTTACAGTGTGGGTGAAACGTCTGGACGAAACATCCGGTCAAATCGAACGCTTTTAGGTAAAAAGTTGTCGTCCGGGCGTTCATTGGTTCATTCTAAACGCATGCATGGGAGCGAGAGAGAAAGAGAGAGAGAGACGCGGCCCCACTAGTAACACTGCTACAGATTCGTCCTGTTCGTTCAGAATGAAAACGTCCAAGTGTGTGACGTCACATTACCTGTGGACACCCTTGTTCGGACGAAAAATTTTTATTCTGAACGCACCCCAGAGCTTTCTGGGCAATCTCTCGGACTCGTGGCCGTTTGGCGTATGTATGTACATGGTTTTGTCTTCATAGTCAAAAATTGTCACAAATCTCCAATCGGTCAACGGAATTAATTTTGACATTTATATTAACCTTCCTTTATTTTATTTACAAATTTTTTAAACTTGACTACAATGTCACACCTATTGACATATTTTGATCGATTGTAGGTTTATGACAATTTTTGACTATGAAGACAAAACCATGTACTATAGCGTATGCATGAGTAACATTTGGATTCATTGTCGTTCGCAAATTAGATAATAGATTTTTCAAACTTATAAATACATTTCAGCATAATCAGATCTGTAAAATTTCAATCAATCGGCTGATAAACCGTTTTGCTAACAGAATTGGAAGTTCTGATGTGCTCTCGCTTGGTGCAATGTTATGACAATGTAAATAAGATCAATTTATATTTATAATACAATTTATATAATAATGGATTTTATATTAACTTCGATTATCTGAAGAGGGTCCAATACAGAGACCGAAACATATGTAATGCTATGATATGGGGATATTGAACATCATTTTGTATTTTATTGTAATTTATTGTAATGTATTTTCAAAAATTTCTGTATACAATTATAATTCTTTGATTTCTCAAATGAGATAAATTTGACTCTTATTTACTTTTTACTTATTATTTGTTTTTAAATTAGTCCTTTATACTTTTCATGTTGATTATAATATTGCATTTATGAGTATATTGTTTGAATATACACTCGCGTTAGAAATAGAAGTTATTTATACTGAGATATTTATGCAAATATTTGATACGTTTATTGTACGCAATATTAAAATTTCATGTGTAATATATGTATTGTGAGTATGTGCGCGCGCACATACGCACACACACACGCACACACACACACACACACACACACGAAATTTAATTGTAATTGCGTATAAATAAACACAGGGAATATCTACATGAATACAATATTCTATTATAATACTATATATATAAGTACATATAATATTCCTCCCGAAAGGGTTCCCACCTTGAAGTAGTCGCGGGACGCCTGGGGTGCTCGTGGTCCGCACTCCTCGCGGTGAATGACACGAGGCCCACATTTGACCTGCAAAAGTAGGTTCGGGGCCTCGAGGTAGAAAAACCGACGGGGGGAACATTTGACCACATCCGGGTACGCCTGGCGTTCTCGAGGGCTGCGGGCTCCCGTGCCGGGGTGGTGGGGCTTATGGTCGCAAACGGGGTCCTCTCGCTCAGGGGGGGGGGGGGCACGTGGGCGGCCAACAAAGAGGAACCCCCCCAAGCTAGGGTGTGAGCTGCCGTGCCTGGAGCTGCATGGCGCAGGGGGAGCTGCGTCGCAAACGGTGCCTCCTGGATACCGGGCGAACTCCAGGAGTACGGAGCCAAGCCCCGGGCATTCGCGGCTTTGCCCGGGTGAGATCGCGCGACCGCGGTACTCGTGGGATCAAAATGGAGACCGATAATATTAAAACAAACTTTAACAAAGTCCTCCAGGGGGTGGCTTCCCTAGGAAGCGAACAACCGGAGGAGAACAAAGCAGCAAGTGCGGGTCTACCTAAAACCCGCATTCGCTATAGCGGGGCTGCAAGGCGCCGCCACAATAAGGAGAAGGCGAGGGCTGAGAAAGCCATCTCTCCTTCTCCTACAAATACCCCTACTCCGCCGGGCGGGGAGAGTGGTGCGACGGTGGGAATGCAGAAGCGTGCCAGATCGGTGCACCAAACGCCCAGTCCGACGGAGAATCGCCCGGGCAAGAGACCCAAGGTCACTGACCAAGGATCGTATGCCCAGGCGATTAAGGGCATGATCAGGATTGCCTTCGTTCCAGAAGGCTATCCTGAGAAAAAACTGGATGCCAGTGAGGTGGAGGAGATCAGGCGACTTGTCAGGGGGCACATCCTCGAACTTCCCGAGGATGGGCTAGCGCCCACCTTCACTGGCACCTGGGAGAGGGATGGCGCAGTTATTTTTAACTGCGCCAACCAGCAGACGGTGGATTGGCTGAAAAGCCTTTCCACCGTGATTAAGATCGGAAAGCACTGCTCTGCATGTGCTACCGGCCGGGGAGCTACCTAAGCGCCATCGGGTGGAGGAGTCGGATTTGGCTGTCGAGGAAACTATAAAGCTTCTCGACAGACAACACACGGGTCTGCGCGCCAGGGAGTGGATCGTCGTGAGGGGGAGCGCAAGTAGGGACGCGAAAAGCGCCCACTTCGCTGCTCTGATCGGCGATCGCTCGCTGGAGGTCCTAAAGACCTGTGGTTTTAAACCCTTCTGCGGGCTGGGTCGGGCAACCGTAAGGTTGCTTGACAAAGAACGCAAGGAGGGAGTGACTGCCGGTGCGAGCGGGTCAGCTTAGAAATGGCGGGACTCGCGGTACCAATAGTCCAAATTAACTTGCATCACAGCAAAGGATTTTAACCAGGAGCATGGCTGTGATGCAGACAGCAATAGCAATAATTCAGGAGCCTTGGCTCCTGAATAACACTATAATGGGTCTGAGTGGCTGTGGTACTATCTATAAAGCAGACACTCAGAACAAAATTAGGACCTGTATTGTAACTAAGAAACTAAATGCTATTTTTATGTCACAGCTCAGCGACGGAGACACCACTGTTATACGGACAAGGGTGGACTACGACGAGGACAAGTATTTGGATCTACTCATAGAGTCAGCTTACATGACCTATGACTCCCAAGAAGAACCACCACCTAAAAACGTAAGGGAACTGGTGTCCTACGCGAAGGAGAGGGGGCTTGAACTCCTATTGGGCTGTGATGCAAACTCCCACCATATAGGGTGGGGGAGCACGAACATAAACCCGAGGGGAGAGAGCCTCCACAAATTCATTATGGACGTCAGTCTGATGATCCTAAATAGAGGAACGGTACCCACCTTCATGGACTGTAGAAGACAAGAAGTATTAGACATCACCATTAGTACTGGGGGAGTGGCGGACCTGGTGCGGGACTGGAGAGTCTCTGGAGAGCCCTCGGGCTCTGACCACAGGCAGGTTCGCTACAATCTCAGATATATGGTGAATAAAGAATGGGGTCGAAACCCAAGAACTACAAACTGGGAAGGCTATAGGATGGACCTGGAGGCCATCCTGAAGAAAGCCCCGAACAAATTTCACTCAGAAGAAAATCTTGAATACGCGGCGCAGTTTGTAAGTGACGCGATAAAAGAAGCCTATGAAGGAAATTGCCTGGAGAGACCGAAATACTCTACAACCAAAACTCCCTGGTGGAGCAAGGAGCTTTCAAAGCACAGGTTGGAAGTAAGAAGACTCTTCAATAAAGCAAGGAGGAAAAACTCAACAGCCGATTGGGAAGCGTATAGAAACGCCCAACGCGGCTATAGCAAAGCAATAATCATTGCCAAAAAAAAAGCTGGAGGGATTTCTGTAAAAGCATTGAGAGCGCTTCAGAAGCATCCAGACTAAACAGAATCCTCAGCAAAGACAATACCCTACGATTGGGATGTCTTAAACTCCCAAACGGAGATTATACCGAGACAGTAGAGGGAAGTTTAAAACAGCTCATGTCTACACACTTCCCAGGGTTCCAGGAAAGACACTGTGAACCTCAACAGGAAATCAAGAAACCCGGGGAAAAACATAAACCAAGAGAATGGACACTGGCAGCTAAGGTGGTGACTCCTGAGGGAGTTGAATGGGCTATCAAGACCTTCGGACCATATAAGACTCCAGGACCAGACGGCATCTACCCTGTTCTACTCAGGGAGGGTAGAAAGGCCCTAGTAGGCCCCCTGACGAAAGTGCTCAGGGCTAGCATAGCACTGAGACACGTTCCGAAAGCCTGGAGCGATACCAGAGTGGTATTTATACCAAAACCAGGTAAAAATGGCCATGTGATGGCCAAGGATTACAGACCTATCAGCCTCACATCCTTCATTTTAAAGATGTTGGAGAGGCTCATTGATAGGTATCTGAAAAACTTCTACCTTATTGCAAAGCCGCTGAACCCATCCCAGTACGCCTATAGGGAGGGCAGATCTACGGATACTGCCCTGCATCATCTTATGAGCGGGGTTGAAGTACAGATGGCTGCAAAAGGATATGCAATAGGTGTCTTTATTGACATTGAGGGGGCTTTTGATAGCACCTCAAATACGTCGATTAAAGACGCCATGAACAGATTTAACATTCCAGAATCGCTGATCGACTGGACACAAAGCATGCTGAAGGGCAGAAGACTGACCATCAATCATGGCAACAGCTTAGTTGAGGGGAGACCGGCGGCGGGCTGCCCGCAGGGGGGGGGCTCTCACCCTTGCTGTGGTGCCTGGTGGTGGATGAACTCCTCACAAAACTGAAGGATTCAGGCTTCGAAATCTACGGATACGCGGACGACGTGGCCATTATCACAAGAGGTAATTTCTTCTCGACACTCAAGGAACGGATGGACGAAGCCTTGGTAATTGTTCAAAACTGGTGTAGGACAAGGGGACTGATGGTAAACCCCACTAAGACCTTGGCCATGATTTTCACCAGAAAATATAAACCGGATCCCATTGAGACATTAAGGCTCTGGGGCGAAGAAATAGTTTATGTAAATTCAGTAAAATATTTAGGGGTCCTACTAGATCCCAAATTGAGCTGGAAACCATACCTCGAGGAAAAGAGGAAGAAATTCTACGCCTCTATGTGGGCTTGCAGAAGGGCCATGGGAAAGAACTGGGGACTAATCCTCAGGACAGCCTTATGGGTATACAAGATGGTATTGTTACCAAGACTCACGTATGCAGCAGTGGTCTGGTGGTCAAGGGCGGAAAAGGTGGAGGCAAGGAACCTGCTCAAAAGCCTACAGGGAGAATACCTGAGGGCTGCAACAGGGGCCATGAGAACTACACCAACTGAGGCGCTACAAGTAGCACTCAGTACTCCGCCCCTAAACCAGATGATCAAATACACAGCCAGGCAAACAGCATACAGACTAAGATGTCAGGGTGAGTGGAAGGAAACCAGGACTGGACATACAAGACTGGGACTTTCTGATAAACACCCTTTCAATCTAAAACAAGACAGGATCCCCAGAAAACACCAGTTGGTGAAGACTTTCAAAGTTCAAATACCGACTAGGGAGGACTGGAGCAAGCATGACTACAAAGCCAATCCAGATGTAGACACTTGGTTCACGGATGGATCGGGAGCAAACGGTAGATATGGGGCAGGTATATTTGGGCCCAATATTAACCAAGAGGTAAGCATACCAATAGGTGAGCTGGCCACAGTGTTTCAGGCTGAAGTGCTGGCTATCCAAAAATGTGCGGAACTCCTGCTAAAGAAGAGAAGTAGAAAACAGATACATATTTGCACGGATAGCAGAGCAGCTATTGAGGCACTTGCAAGTACCTCCACTGAATCATCTGTAGTATGGGACTGTATGCAAGCACTCACAACACTAGGGGTAACAAACAAGGTAACCCTAGCATGGGTCCCTGGACATCAGGGTATACCTGGAAATGAGAGAGAGGACGAGCTGACAAAGCTGGGCACCGAAAAGGTCCCGGCTGAACGGATCGTCGGGGTCCCATTTTCAGCAGAAACAAAAACTATTAAAGAGTGGCTTGAACGGGAGCACTTGAACTCCTGGAAAGGGATAGAGGGCTGCAGACGAGCCAAACAACTCATGAAACTTCCAAAACCAGCAAGAACCAAAGAACTGCTGGCGATGGGAAAAGAAAAACTGAGGAGAGGCATAGGCCTCTTGACAGGACATATGCCCCTCAGAGCACATCTATTCAATCTAGGACTAGCGGAGCAGAAAGAGTGCCGGCTATGTGGAGAAAAAGGCGAGGACAACCTGCACTTACTGTGCTGTTGTCCTGCACTCGCCTGTAAAAGATACAAATCCTGGGGACATATGTTTATGACACCCATGGATCTTGAAAATGCGAAGGTCGGCAGTCTAATGAGCCTGGTGAATGATACGAGGCTGGGTCTGACTGAATAACCTACGGAACAAGCAGGGAGCGACAATGGATCCCTATGGATCTAGGTCGCGGTAGTAGGCTGGTTAGCCCACCTGCATATATTTACTACTACTACTACTACTACTAAGTACATATATATTACTAATATTTTTACATATTTCAACAGGAAAAATTTCTCTTTTTATTAAATGTAATATAAAAAAGTGAAGTAGGTCTAAAATGTGGCATTAGTAGTAGGGAAAGGTACCTACTATGATTGTCTATTGATATATATTGCCAATATATTGGAAAATAGATGTAATAAATTACAGATCCTCAGTACTGACAGTATACATCAATACACGGCCGTAATATCGTTCTCTACAACCAATATCATTTTAGATCAGGACGTAACAAAGGGTGCCCTCCAACAAGCAACATAGTAAAACAGTGATCATCTCATCTTTATTAGTAAACAGCAAGGATGTAAGTACTGATACACTCTGTCACACAATGTCATCTGTGTCGCTTGTTGAGAGGCACTCTTTGTTACATTCCGAAAAAATTCTGTACGCTAAATTGGATCAAAGTGAACATTTTTTGTCTCTTAGACTTTTTTTTATAAAATCAATAGTTTTTGAAATAGAAAATGTCAGAGCTTGAAAAATGACTAGATTTACGATTTTTCTTCTCACAAACTAATTATCCAATCAGTACGAATAAAAAACAAAAATGTTCGGCCAATCTTAAACTTTAATGAAAATTTTTTTATTTTGATCCGTACTGTTATTGATAGTGAAAACTTTATTAGAATAAAGCTCTGCATGCTCGTCCGCGGCGCATGAGCGGTCTCGACTCTGTTGCCACGTCGGCGCGCCGAGCATGTTGCATGCTGTCGAGCTGCGATGCTATGAATCGTCGACGTTGCGTCGAGACTGCCGTTGCGATCAACTGATCGGAATCGAGCCGAATGTGGTTTATTTGATGTGCATCATGGTGCGTTTGCCAAGCTACCAGGTTAGTTGCACTTATTGCTTTCCGCTCGCCGAGCTGTCAGTTGCAGTATATTAATTATACTTGACAGTAGTAGACGGATGCACGTATACATTCGGTAATTTTTAGAAATTAATATCTATCATATGCTCCGTCTTCATAGCCTATAGTGTCAGAAGCGTCTATTTTAACGGTACTGGTTTGTAGTACCATTTGCATGTATAAAAGTAGTTTCTTATAAATGCCAGAAGCATCTATTTTGACGGAACTAGTAAAATAAATATCAGAGACGTCTAATGAGACGATACTGATTAAAGTAAAAATAGAAAGCACATTTGTTCTAATTGTAATAGCAAAATGAGCACCAGAAGCGTCTGTTTGACAGTACTGGTTTGTATTGTCATATACATGTACGCAGTAGTTTGTTATGATTCATAACTTATGAATGCCAGAAGCGTCTCTTTTGACGGTACTGGTATATAAATATCAGAGACGTCTAATCAGACGATACTGATTAAAATAATTGTCGAAAGCGCTTATTCTGACTGTAATGGCAGAATAAACGTCATAAGCATTTATTGTGATATTACTTGTTTGTATTGCCATATACATGTATATAATGGTTTACTATAAATGCCAGAAGCGTCTATTTTTGCCGGTATTGGTATATACAATAAATATCAGAGATATTTAATCAAATGATACTGATCACAATCCTGATATTGCCATAGTTCTTCTTCAAATGCCAAATATGCAATTATGAAGACAATTTTTTGTTACAACCTAGAGATGTCAAAGCTTGGGCAATATGGCTATGACAACTGCAATCATAACGTTTGAAATTGATTATGCTCAAGTATAAGAGATATTAGCAGCTGTGAATGCGCCATGTATGCTGAGAAAACATAACAAACATCGATAATTATTAGTCGACGAGTTTGAAAAAAATACTTTTGAAAAAGAGGCAGGCGAAGTTGAGAATCAACTCGCTATAGAAAGTAAATGGCATTCCATTATGTATATGTATATACATAAAATTTAATTCCAATATTGCATGTAAAGATGCATATTAGTGAATATTACACTTTATATGCTTTATGTTTGCATATATATGTGTGTATATACATAAAAATATACATAAAATATTTCAATATTGCAGATAGACATGTATTGGTACATGCAATGTTATAATTATACATTTATATATGTATGTACATACACACAATATACTTAGAATATAATTGAATATAGTTATAGCATTGCATGTATCACTAATACATGTCTGTGTGCAATATTCAAATATTTTATGTATGATAATGTGTATGTACGTGTGTATGCACACATTAAATAACATATATCAATATATTATTCTTAGAAATATATTTAAGTTCGTGAATCATTTAGACATTTTTAGAGCAAACGTTGAGCTTTGAAACGTTGAATTCATCCATAAATGCTTCAATATCTAAAGTCTCAGCAATATCGGAGTGCACGTGCAATACCTATAGCTATTGA